CGCTCCTCCTCGCTCCTCCCGCTCCTCGCTCATCGATCATCTTCCTCCTCCTCCTCCTCCTCCTCCTCCTCCTCCTCCTCCTCCTCCTCCTCCTCCTCCTCCTCCTCCTCCTCCTCTTCCTCGCCCCTCCTCCACGTCCAACTCCAGACCTGCAGCGCGTGTCCCCATGAGCGGGCGCGCCGAAACCAGAACTTACATGTCTGGCTCTGGCCAGACCTTATATCCTGGGGGGAGCTTCCCTTCGGACAGGGTTTTCAGCACACGCCTGCCCCATTCGCTCACGCGATCGGGTTGGCATTCTCCCCCCAGCTTGACGAATTTCCCCCGCGTACCCGTGGCACCGCAGGCGTGGCACCAGAAAACTCCCTTGCAGGAATCCAGCCGATGCGAGGGATCAGTGCCTTGCGGGACCTTGGCGCAGGCAGTTGCAAGCCAGTCCAACGAATGGCACAGGGCACATCTGACACCCTTCGCGTCCGCGACGACCTTATGGGTCTACGCACCCGCCGCCACCTCAACCTTGAGCGCCCGCTCTCGGCCCTTGACTTTGGCTTCGGCCGCCCTCGCGGCCTTGGAGCTGGGACCATAGAGGTCGGGGGCTCGGGACGCGACGCGAAGAGCCACGGCCACGAGGTGCTCTTGCACACTGTGCGTCAGTTCATCCACACGGCACACCTCAGCGACCACAAGGCCAGGAAGTTGGGCCCTCCGAGCTCCTTCCTCAGCGGCCGCATGTGCGGCCCCATTGGCATGCCAAAACAAAACAGGCGGTCCACCTTCCCTTTTCGGGAGCTGGGCGGGCATGGCTTTTGACCTTCACCATACGGACCTGACGGCCCCCCGCCCCCGCCCGGAACATGCGCCACAGGCCAACATTCGCTGAGGGCACAAAGCTACGACCCCGCAAAAAGGTACGCATCGTCATGGGCGAGCCAACCGCAAGCGTGACAGCCCCTCTGGTGCGCCTGAACACTTGGATGACTCCTTCCAATTCCGCGAGGGGCACAGTCTGCTTATCACCAGAGGGCGGCCGAGGCCGGCCGCTCCTTTTGAGTGGCCACACTCCGCCGAGAGGCCGCGGCGCCCACCCCCAAGTCCTTTGTCACCTGGGAGGTCCGGACATGCAAACCGCGCGCCGCCAGCGCAATCTGGATCTCTGAAGCCAGATGCACTGGGCAGCTGACGAGGGTGCTCTTGCTGGAGACCTTCAGGCCCCCCTGAGTGCACAGCCTCCAGAACTTCCTGCCCACCTGCACGCTCGTCGCGACAACCCCCCCAGAGTGCCCCACCACCCGCTGCGAACAGTCGCCCACCCAAGGGTCAAGTTGGGGGGTCTGAACGAGTCGTGCAAGTCTTGCAATATCCCACACAGTCCTACCCTGGCGATATCTACCGATTGATTGCATCCCGCCAGGATCACCCGCCAGAGGTGCATCACTTCGCTGAGACAGTCCTCCGCCATCACCCCCCTGGGCCGAAGTGGATTTGCATGGCCATGAACAAATGAAACATCGGATACCCAGTGGCTCGCCCGAGCCTGATAATTTCAAAATGTTGTAAGCGGTGGTAAAACTCTTCCGTGCCCCACAGGATTTCAGCCCAAGAGAGGCCCTGGGCCGCGGAGACCTCCAACTGGATTTGCCGCAGGACCGCCGCTCTTAAAGCCGAGCTCCCTCGCAGCCTCGCATGGCCCCATCGCACAGAAAAGAGCCCCGCCCCCCCCCCCCCCCCCCCCCCCGTCACCCAAGTCGCCAGCGCCCCCCGCCTCGCCACCGACCAACAACGATATAGGCCTTGAGCGAGGGTTATCGGCCGATCTGCGATCGGCGACTTGTGGAGAAGCTGCACAGCATTGTCACGCACCTGACACGGCCAGGTCATCGCATCTTCCACCTGCTGGAGAACTCCTAGCAACTGCTCTCGGCCAGCTAGAGGAAGCGGGCTCCAGTGTTTCGGATACTGGCCGTCGAGGCCCATCCCTATCGCAGATCGAAAACTGGAGCGGGCAAAATCTAAGTCGCCCAACTCGAGTTGCTTGAGCTCGTCGCGGGCATCGCGAGCACACGCCTTAAACTCGGGCCACCAGTCTTGGTCCTGAGGGGGCCCCTGAGCGCCAACCTGCGGGCACTACAGCGCCTCCCGCACAGCCGCCTTGGCCACCACCGAACGAAGGGGGTCCACGATGAGTTCCCCCTCAGGGCCATGCTCTGGGGCGAGGGTGGGCGCCGGTTCCCCCCGCGTCTTAGCCCAACGTTGGAGGCCCCCCCCCCCCCCCCCCCTTAACTCTTTAAGATCCATTCCTCGAGACCTTTCGAAGCTTCCCGCCGGTGAAAACATTCAGCACCGAAAACCACGCGGCGGCGCTCCTTGGCCAGGCCCTGGAGCCGCCGGAAGCTCACAGACCCTGGGGAAAGGGCACCCTCAAGCCTGTCCAGAAAACGCTGGGAGCCCACGACATCTACTCACTTGCCACTGCAGGCTATCCCTCCCTTTTTGCCGAAGGTGTTTGGCCCGCCCTTTCTGGGCCATGCCCACGCACTCAAGCAGGCGGCCCTCAAGGGCCCCCCAACCCCCGAGGCGCGGGCCACCCAACCCTTCGGCTTAGGGGGCGCAACCTGAACCTCCTGGACCTCAACCGCGAAGCCCCTCTTGATGGACGCGCGCAGGCGCCTGCCCATTTCTACCTCCCTGCTCAGCAAAAACTCCTCAGCCGCGAGCGCGAAGGCCATGCAATTCTCGCTGACCTCCCTCTCAATCCCCGCGAGATCACGCATCCCTGAACGCGCCATGCCATCATCCAGACTGACAGCAGCCCGCTCGAAGTAGTGCCCCTATGGTAGATCTGGCCCATTCATGCCAAACGTGACAGGAAGCGGTGCCCTCGCCACTCGTTGCTTCAGGCTGAAAGCTGACTTCTTGAGCACCCCTCTGATCCCGACATGCGGCGCCGCCCAAGGGGGGGAATCGCCCCACGATGGGTCCACAGCGTGCCGTAACGTATCCGAGATACACATGTAATCGATCACTCTTTCGCCTGCTGGATGCGGACCTGGCGTGGTCCGTTCGCCACCTACATAGACATCAAACCCAGATGGCCCCACTTCCTCCAGCGCCATGTTACAACCCCCGCCATGATCGCGAAAGGTAATCCATTGAGCCTCAAATACTGCCCACTCTCCGGTAGGAGGGGAAGATTCGGTTCTGCCAACCCCACTCCAACCACGACCCCACGGTTTTCCCACTGACGAGAATCTGACCCACTGAACCGCCCACTGACTCGGCATAACTGGCTCAGCATCAGGGAACAACAGCCTCTCCTCGGCTGCGGGGACTGCGGTGTGCAACTGGGACCGTTAGAAGACCGCTACCCCTCCATGTCCCTGTTTGCCTCCGTTGATCGTCGGCTGAACCCTGCCAAATCTCCTCTCCATCCGTGCCCCCGTAAACTCTTCCGCATCTCCGTCGTCCTCGGCCGCATGCAATGGTGCTCCGCTAAACCGACCAGCTGCGGGGCAGGGGTCTCAGCCTGGTGGAGCCCTGCATGCGTCATCGACCACTGTTTAACCTGATCCTTCGCCTTGCCATCATAACTCGTGATGTTGGCAAAATATGACAGAAACTCATCATTGCCCTGCTGGCTACCTACGCTTCGGCCGCTTGTAGCCCACGGCGCGAAGCTGCTCCAGCAGGTTCCGCTCTTCTCCCTTAGATGCCTGCCAGAGCGCTTCCACGCCGTTGTCATATGGTTCTGCTGCTGTCCCGCCACCGTCTGCAGTAGCTGGCCCTGCAGCACCGCCATCAGTAGCATCTGGAGGAGCCGCCCGAAACCGCTGCCCTCCTTTCTCCTTGACCTTGTTCTGGTAGCGCTTCCACGCCGCGGACGACAGAATGTCCTTAACCTCCTGGTCTCCGTCGAACTCGGCCTCATCGCAATCGAAGAACACGCCATCTGGGATTGTACTCGCCAGCGCCCGCATGGCCTGCACAATCTCCGCGTCCAGCTTGGTGATTGCCTCCTCCTGCTTGCCAACCTCAAGAGTGGCTGCGGCCTTCGCTTCTTCCTGCTCTTTCTCCTTCTGGACCGCCGCCGCCCGCTTCCGCTCCAACTCTGCGAGCGCATGCCCCGCATTGGTGTGCTGGGTGAGTTGCGGCTTGAGCTTCTGGAGCTGCCCCCGTGCCTCTTTGAGCTTCGCCTGCAGCCCCGCAATGACCTCTTTGTCCTTCTCCGCATCCATGTTCTGAACCGGATGTGGCACCATTTCGATCCGTTCCCGACACTTATCGGCCTCCTCGTCCTGCGCATCAGACTTAGGCCCCCGAGTCGAGCCCGACCATGCTGGTGGGGCCGCCCCAGGACCTGATTTGGCCATCTTGTCGATATTGGAAGTGAGCGCTGCAATCTGCTTGGCTTGAGCCTCAAACTTCGCTGCCCAGGGCTTTGGTGGTGGGCCGGCCCGCCCTCCTCCGCTGCCGGTGGCAGTCTTGTCTGCGGCCTTCGCCTTGTCCACACAATCGTCCTCGGAGCTGTGGCCCCGCACGCACACCGGACCCTTGAGGCCCAGTTGGACGACCTGCCGCACTGCCCACAGCCCCAGTGGGGGGTCTTCGGCCCCTTGAGAACTGTGCGCCCATCCATCCCCTATCCGCACTGGTCCGTGACGGCCCTCGCGGGCGGGAAAGAAACTGTGCTCCCGCAGGAGCTCACTGGAGAAAGGGGGCCTGGTGGGCGAGGTTATGCCGCATGCCTACCCGCCTGCCCCAAATCGCTGTCCTGGCCAGCTGCCTTGACAAAATGGCAACTTGCGCCAAAATGGCTTGAGCCAAAATGGCTACGGCCTCTTCCTCCTCCTCCTCCTCCTCCTCCTCCTCCTCCTCCTCCTCCTCCTCCTCCTCCTCCTCCCCCGCCTCCTCCTCCTCCTCCTCCTCCTCCTCCTCCTCCTCCTCCTCCTCCTCCTCCTCCGCCTCCGTCTTCCAGCGGGAGGGGTGGGGGCAGCGAGGGCCTCAAGCCAGCAGCTGGACTCCTGCGGGGGGGGGTGGGGGGAAGCGCGGGGATCGTGGGTGAGCGCCGCTGAGAGGGCTCCAAAGAGCCTTGGAGAACTCCGCGCGGGCGAGCAGCTTCGGAGGACGAGGAGAGCCGAAGGGGAAAAAGGACATCAGATCTGGGGTGTTCGGGATTCCAAGTCTTCGGCGGTGTTGCAGCCTCGGGGTGCTCTTTGGCAGCTGCGACTCGCCGAGAGGCGTCCAGGGGTGCCTGGATCGTCCCGAACGGCCGCCGAAGCCCCGAGCTACGACCCGAAAACCGGACGACGAGGATCACGGGAGAAAGGAAGGAAGGAAGTGGGCCTCGGAGGAAGAGGACCGATCGGGGAGGGCCCGTCGGGGAAGAAGGGAGAATCGGGGAGGGGAGCCTCGGGTGACAGCTGAGGTGGAAGAGGGCAACCCCTAGGCTCGCAGGGGTTCGGAGCAGCTTCGGAGGAAGATCGAGGTGTTCGAGCGTCCCTTGGTCTCGAGAGGCCTCTGGCGTCTCTGGGGGGCCCCCGTGGGGCTCCAGGAACGGGGCCCTCTGGAGGCCTCTGGAGAAAGTTTCGAAAGGCTCTCGAGGGCGAGGGGAAGAAGGAGAACGAGGGGGGTAGAGAGAGAGAGAGCAGAGGCGAGCAGAAGGCGGGAGAATTGGGACAGGGGAGGGGCTAGATAGGGGGAGGATCGGAGAAGAAGGATGAGGGGGAGGACAATGACGATCATCAGTAGCAGCAGCAGCAGCAGCACGGCTAGTATCAGCAATACCAACAAGAATATCATCAGCAGCAGCATCATCTCCACTATCCCCAGTCGGCAACCATGAACATCATCGTCATCATGATAAGAATCAGAATCATCATCGTCATCATCATCATCAACATCATCATCATCATCATCATCATCATCATCATCATCATCATCATCATCACCATCAGCATTACCATCATCATCATCATCAGCAGCATCCTCATCATCATCCTCATCATCATCCCCCTGTATCATCATCACCATCATCATCACCATCATCATCACCATCACCATCACCATCACCATCACCATCATCATCCTCATCATCATCATCATCATCATCATCATCATCATCATCATCATCATCATCATCATCATCATCATCATCATCATCATTATCAGCACCATCGTCACCATCACCAGCAGTATCGCTAATCACCGTAAGCCGCAGAATCATCAACATCATCAATATCACCACTGTTTCCTTTCCCATCACCACCAACCAGCATCATCACCACCGACGTCATACTTAAAACGACCACAACATCGTCACCCGAGTCGTCGTGATCGTCGTGATCGTCACCATCCACGCCATCACCACATTCATCATGATCAACACCATCATCATCATCATCATCATCATCATCATCATCACCATCATCATCGTCATCATCCTCAGCATCACCGTCGTCGTCGTAATCGTCGCCGTCATCGTCCTTGTCATCGTCATCGTCGTCATCATCGTCATCGAGGCCATTACCACCATCATCATCAGCATCGTCAACGTCACCAACCGAATCAGCATCATCATCATCAGCAGCAGCAGCAGCAACAGCACTACCTTCATCATCATCACCGTCATGTCCCGGCCTTCTCCTGGACAGCGAGTGAATATGGTCAAAAACGATAGAAGAGGTATCACCACCACCATCCTCATCACCGTCGTCGTCGTTGTCTTCATCACTACCACCATCACAAGCATGGTTCATCATCGTCAACATCATCATCATCATCAGATTCATCAATATCACCATCATCCTTGTCCCTTGTCCCCTGTACCACCTACACCATCATCACCTCCATCAATATCGTCTAACCACAACCACCAACGCCACAACCATCATCGCCCCCATCAGCATCATCGCGGGCACCGTCATGATCACCACGACCATCATGCTCATCACCAGCATAACAATCATCATCAGCAACATCATCATCAGAACGATACGCGTCGGCGTCACCATCATCGTGATCGTCATCGTGATCGACGTCATCCTCATCATAAACATCATCATAACCATCATCAGCACCTTCATCATGGTCATCATCATCACCATCATAAACAGCATCATCATCATCATCACCGGAATCGGAATCGGAATCGTCATCGTTGTCGTCACCATCATCAACATCATCATCAACATCATCAGCTTTGTCACCATCATCACCATCACCATCACCAGCACAACAATGAAAACAATAATACTCGAAATAGCAATGATAATCAGCATCTTCATCATCATCATCATCATCAGCAGCATCATCATCTTCAGCATCATCAGCATCAGCATCATCATCGCCACCGTCATCAACATGGTCATCATCATCCTCATCATCAGAATCATCATCAGCAGAATCAGCATCATCAGCAGCAGCATCATCCTCACCCCCAGCATCGTCATGGCCCACATCACCATCATCAGCAGCAGCATCATCAGATTCATCATCATCAGCATCCTCATCCTCATCCTCAGCATCGTCATGGCCCAGATCATCATCATCATCATCATCATCGTCATCATCATCATCATCAGTTTCATCATCATCAGCATCATCATCATCATCAGCATCATCATCATCATCTTCATCATCATCATCATCATCATCATCATCATCATCATCATCGTCATCGCCATGCACAACATCCTCATCACCAGCATCGTCATCATCAGCAGCATCATCATCGTTCGTCCGTCCGTTCGGCCGTCCGTCCGTGCGTCCGTCCGTCCGTCCGTGCGTCTGTCCGTCCATCCTTGCCTTGAACGACAAGTGCATATGGTCAAGTTGGTCGGGGCGCCATCTGTGATCACAACATGATCTTGCATGTGACATGACTTGCGGCAGATGGAGCAGCAACAACATGACAGCCCTGGGGTGAAGACATTGAAGCCAGAGAGAGAGAGAGAAGAACAAACAAGGGAGGATGCCAAGGAGGATGCCTCTGGCCTCCCTTCCTGCCCAGGGCCGATGTCGGTCGGTGAGGAATCGACGATTCACGTTGCATTCTTGCTCCAGGGCGGTGCGGGTAGGAAGTTTCCAAAAATGTCCCTGGAGACCTGTGAAGCTTCCTGAAAGGCCTCTTCTGGAGGCCACACAGGGGGGGGGGGCTCCGCAGGCCCCCGAGCAGCAAAAAGAAGCTTCGAAAGTCTTTACCCCCGGAACAAGAGAGGAAGGAAGAGGAGGAGGAGGAGGAGGAGGACAAAGGGGAGGAGGAGGAGAGGAGGAGGCACAGGCGGAGGAGGAGGAGGCACAGGAGGAGGAAGAGGCGAAAGAGGAGGAGAAGCCAGACGAGGAGGAGGAGGAGGAGGGAGAGGAGGAGGCGGAGAGGAGGAGGAGGCGGAGAGGAGGAGCAGGAGGCAGAGCACCGAGGAGGAGGAGGAGGAGGAGGAGGAGGAGCACGGTGCCGAAGAGACCAACAAACAAACAAAAAACAAAAACGAGGGCGGCGGCGGCGGCGGGAACGCTGGGCGTGTGCAGGGGTGGGCCGCCGCTCCTTGCGGGTGCGCATCTGTCGGCCTCCCCTTATTCCGCGAGGGCCGTCGTGCCAAATGCGCGGGGTGTGACGTCGCCTTCGTCAAATATTCACCTCTAGAGGAGGAGAAGGAGGAGGAGGAGGAGGAGGGAGAGGAGGAGGAAGAGGAGAGGGAGGAGGAGGAGGAGGAGGACCAGGGTAAAGCCAAGAGTCATCAACGATGTTGGAAGTAACCCTCCCTCCAAGCTCCCTCTTCACAGATCCCTGCAACGGTTCATTTCCATTGAAGGAACTGCCTCGTTGGAGGACAACCGTATGAAGGCCCTTAAGCATGGTAAAACATTGTTCTCCGGATTTCAAAGCCACGGATCAACATGACCGCTGCGCTTTAACGATCCACGATCGTGACAGAACGCCGTGTTTGGGACTTCAACACCGCGACCCCAAAAAAATGCTACACCCGCATAATCTCGAATCCTTCCAAAACACTATTTCTGTTACGCTGATCACGGGAATCCGTTAAACGTTTGCAAATGTTTAAAACGAATACGCGCGGCGCTAAAGCAAGAGCCACATTTTGAAAACCACCCGCCCTCAGTCCGCGAAACTATTGCAAATGTTGAAAACGAATGTGCGCGGCGCTAAGAAGAGAGCCACATTTTGAAAACCACCCGCCCTCAATCCGTGAAACCCTTGCAAATTGTTACCACGAGTGCGCGCGGCGCTAAGAAGAGAGTCACATTACCCGCTCTCAGTCGGCGAAACGATTGCAAGTGCTGAAAACGAATGTGCGCGGCGCTAAGGCGAGAACCACATTTTGAAAACCGCCCGCCCTCAATCCGTGAAACCCTTGCAAAATTTGAAAACGAGTGTGCGCGGCGCTAAGGCGAGAGCCACATTTTGAAAACCACCCGGCCTCAATCCGTGAAACGCTTGCAAATTAGTAAAACGAGTGTGCGCGGCGCTAAGGCCAGAGCCACATTTTGAAAACCACCCGCCCTCCATCTGTGAAACGAGTGCCACGTTTGCAGCTTCAGAATCATACATAGTGAAGAATTAATTCTGAGGCGCAACGCCCGCCCTAAAAAACTGGCCTAGGGGGGCGACAAGGAAAAATCATGTATAAGGAAAATAATGTATAAGGAAATTCATGTATAAGGAGAAAGAAATCATGTATAAGGGTAAAGAAAATCATGTATAAGGAGAAAATCTGGTACAAGGAAAAAGAATGGAGGAGCTCTGGGGGCCGCGAATGGATAGGACCCTCTTCGTGATAGGCGCTTCTGGTCTATGGAGACGATCCTGGGCGCTCTCGCCTCGACGCGCGCTACAGTTTCGCTGAAAATGACGCCCCCGCTCGAGCGCGGGCTCTGCTGAAGGCCAGGCCACGACGGCAACCGCTCCCCCCGACACGTCCTCGCAATTTGCTCCAAGACGTCCTGGCCTTAGAGGCCCCAAAACTCGGAATGGCGCTCTCGCTCGACTTCCTCGCAAGTTGCTCAAGTTGGTTAAGGCCCAGCTACGACGACAAGGACTCCCGCCCCACACGTATCCACAATTTACTCAAACCGCCCTGGCAAGAAATGCCCTCGAATTCAGGAACGGCGATCTAGCTCGAGACTTCCTTGAAATGCACTCAGTTTGGTGAAGGCCCAACTACGAAAACAACAGCTCCCTACTCCAAAACGCCCTGGCCAGAGACCCACTCGAGACTTCTTCGCACTTCACGTAAGTTGGTGAGGGCCCAGTGACGAAGACAACGGCTCCCACTCAACACTTCTTCTCGGTTTACTCCAAGACGCCCTGGCCAGAGATCCCCCGTAACTTCGGAACAGCGCTCTGGCTCGAGACGTCCTCACAATCCATTCAGGTTGGTGCTGTGAAGGCCCAGCTACGACAACAACGGATCCCGCTCTAATTTATCCGCGCGCGCCCTGGCCATACGCAGTAAGTACCACACTCAGGAACGGCGCTCTCGCCCGAGAGGCCCTCGCAAGCCAACAAATTGTGTTGAGAGCGACAGACGAAGGACGACAATTGGGAACAAATTGCCACTGCATGTAAGACGACAACGGCTGCCGCTCGATAAATCCTCACAGTTACTCCCAGACGTCCTAGAGGCCCCCAAACTCAGGAACGGCGTTCTCTATCAAGACTTCCTCGCGATTCACCCTAGTTTTAGGTCGGGCATCTCCTCCTACAGGCGGACCTTGTCGGAAAAATCAAAAGTAGTCCAAAAATTCGCCGGCCCAACGGGCCAGAGGCGTGCTAAGATCTCCGGTAACTGGTTAACAATTCTCTAGTTCGCGCGCGCGGGGCGGCCCCTGGGGGTCCCCGGACGAAAAGTACCCCGGGCGATCCCCGACCGACCCCCGAGCGATCCCCGGGAGACTCCCCCAGAGCGCTCCAGGAGCGCTCCATGAGCGCACCAACAGGGCTCCGAGACGTCCCCGAGAGCCCCAAGAAAGGCCAAGAGGCCCCCAAGAGGCCCCCAAGATGGTACACGAGGGGTCCGACATGCCACAAGATCGCTCCAAGACGCCCAAGATAGCCCCCAGACGCCCCAAGAGGCCTCCAAGAGCACTCCCAAGAGGGCCCCCGGAGGCAAAATTCATTGTTTTTCCTTAGGTTTTTGAGAGATTTTGGAGCTTCCACCTTTTCGGCTTCCCGACGCCCCAAGACGGCCCAAGAGGCCCCCAAGATCGCCCCAAGAGGGCCCAAGAGGCCCCCAAGAGGGCCCCAAGATGGCCCAAGAGGGCTCGAAGACGGCCCAAGAAGCCTCCAAGACGGTCCAAGAGGGCCCCAAGAACGCCCCCAAAGGGGCCCCAGAGAGGGAACACGAAACAACATTTCGAGCCCTCGGCCCTAAGAAGCCCCTACGAGGCCCCAAGAGGCCCCAAGAGGCCACCACGAGGCCCTCAGGAGGCCCCCAAGAGTCCCCCAAGCGGCCCCAGGAGGCCCCAAAAATGCCCCCCCGAGCGCCCCAGGAGTCCCCCAAGCGGTCCCAGGAACCCCCAAAGCGCCGCATTGACACCAGGCCCTCGGGCAAACGGCAGACATGAGACTGTATGGGCCGGCGGAATGAGCGAAGCGATTAATAATAACAACAAGAAGGACGACGACAACGAAGAATGACGTTAAGGAGCCCGACGAAAAGGACGTCGAAGAGGAGAGGGGTTCCCGTGATATGTTGAGGCTACCCTGTGGACTGTTGAGGCCATCTGGGGTTATCTTGGGGCATCCTGGGGGCCTCTTGGGGGGCCTGTCGGGGTCCTCTTGGAGGCTAATTACCGGGGTATTCTTGGGATGTCTGGGCATGGCTTAGGGTTCTGTGGGAGCTCTCTCAGGCCATCTCGGCGCCATCTTAAGCTGTCTTGGGCCGTCTTGGGGCTCTCCTGGGCAGTCCCAGGGCCTCTCTGGGCGCTCTTTGGGGCCTGTGGGTGGTTCTGGGGAAGTCTCTTCGGGGTCTCTTGGGGCGCTTTGGGGGTCCCGTGGGGGGCCGTCGGGGGCTCACTGGTGGCCCTCCAGCAGCCAGTCCAAGACGATGTTGGTTTGGAGACCGCTCGGGAGCCGATTGTTCGAAGATGTCCCGAGCGAAACGGACATGTTCCAGAAACTAGACCGGACAAAAACGGGAAGCGCAGCTCAGTCCACGAAACGTGTCAGACAACGCCGGCCTGAGAACGTCGAGGGAACTCAGAAACGCATTTCAAACGAACATCGCAAATCTCATCGGATCATTGTGTTGGTGTGCCGCGCTGTTCTGTCGCGTTGGTCTGCCGTGCTGCTGTGGTCTGCCGCGCTGGTTTGCTGTGCTGCTGTGGTTTGTCGTGTTGGTCTGCCGTGCTCCCGGGGTCCACCGACTTGTCTGCGATGTTCCTGCGGTGTGCCGCGATGTAGTTGTAGTTGTAGTTGTGGAGCCATAAAGGCAAGGAAAAGGACCGAGGGGCCTCCAGGGGCGCCACGCGCCACCCGAGACACGCCCTCCCGAGAAGGGGCCCCCTAGGGCCGCCTCTCGCCGCGGGGGCCGCACTGGGCCTCCACCGCGCGGCACCACAGGCGAGAGCAGAACTACATGCAGAACGCAACTGCCCGCCTCACTCTTCACTCTTGGGCCGCGTCTTGCAACGCGCACGGACCAAAAGATCATCGAGGGGCCGCTGACGCTCCTCGGCATCTGGACAACCTGCACTTCCGAGGCGGACGCCGAGGGCGCGGGCCTCGGCCAAGTCCAGGAGTGACACAACTCCTGACTTCGGCCCCTTGGCCGCGCGCGCCACCGCCGCCGCCGAGAAGCCGTCCAGGAACGAAACGAACGCGCCCTCCGAGCTCGAGTGGCCATCGCCCGCGGCGCAGTCGACGCTGTCCGCGACCAGGGGCGGCCAAGCGCCGACGGCGCGCTCGATGGCCGCGCCTCCCACGGGCACCTCCACGACGGCCACGGACGGCGGCCGCGGCGTCTCCTTCGCGCGGCGCATCGAGCCTCCGTCAAGCGCCGCGGCGCCGCTCGGTTTGCACGCCCGAATGAGCAGCTCGAGCTCGAGGGCCCTCCCCACGGACATGCCTGGCGGATGGGCCTGCACCAGCCAGGGCCCTTCGGCGGACCGCACGCCCCAGGCGGGTCGCCGACGAGGCCTCACGGAGATGCCGAACGTCTCGCACTCGCAGAGGCGCATCAGGTCGACGGCCTTCGCATGGCACGTCCACGCGGGGTCCAACCACCGAGGGACAGGGCCACGCAGAAGGATCCCAGCCACACCGAGCGTGCCTCCCAGGGCCCCCACCTCCACGTCGACGACGTCGGGCCACGGAGCGAAGGATACCCGCTTGCTCCTCTCACACTCCTGCCCCAGCCCGACAGGATCGGCCCCGCTCGGCTCGCTGGCACGCCTGTCGCCGTGCAGCCCGCACGGCACGGGCGCCGCGTTGCCCCCCTCGGACTCGAGCAGCTCCTCGGGGCCCACCTCGGAGCCGTCGGCCGCGAGCGCTAGCGCGCCGTGCCCCTCCCCAGGCCCGCTCCCACCACCGCGCCTGGAGTCCGAGCGCTCCAGCCAGGCAGCGCGCGCCTGCTCGCACTCCGCGGCCAACTCGCTGCCGTCCGAGAACTCGTCGCGCAGGAACTGCCCGTGCTCGGACCCGAGATCCTCGAACTCAGAATCCCCCTCGAACTCCGAGCCCCCCTCTAGGCTGCCCCCGCTCCGCCGCGGCCGCCACGCCGAGCAAAGCGCCGCAGCCGCGCGATCCCCCTCGGCCTCGCAGCCGAACTCCGCGATGATCTCCTCCGCCTCGGTGCTCTCGGCGCCGCCCTCGCCGCAGCCCTGCTCGGCCAGCTGCGCCACGCCGAGCTCCTCCAGCAGCGCGGCCCAGCGCGCCCACTCGGGGAGGTACGGCTGGGCGCCAGACCGCAGCGGGGCCCTCGCGGCCGCCGCTCGGGCGCTGGGCAGCCGGGCTGGCGCCTCGGCCGCGCAAGCATCCAAGGCGCACTCAATCGGCGGCTGCACTTCGCAGACGCAGGTCTCCACCTCACACGCGATGGCACTCTGCGCCGCACCGCCGCGCCCATCACCAGGAAGGGGCCCTCCTGGGAGGCGCGGCCCGCGTTGAACCCTGCGCCATTCCTGCGGCGGGGCGTCTGCCGACGGGCAGCGCTCGGCATGCCACGCGACGTTCCGCCGCTGCCGCTGCGCCCTGGTTTCGCGGCGTCCGCGGACGCGCGCAACCAAGGCGGGCCGCGCGATGGCTTCGCGGCGGAGGGCCTCGGCCTCCGCGGCGTCGCCGCGCGATCCGCACTGAAGCTGCGCCTGGAGGCTGGCGACGACTTCCTTCGCCTCCCGCAGCTCCCTGTCAAGCCGTCTCACCAGGTTGTCTGCCGCCCAGCGGGCCGCCGCGACACCGGCGAGCACCTCCCGCACCATTCTGCCCAAGCGCCCGCGTGCGGCGCGCGCCCGAGCACGGCTTGAGCCAAAATGGCTACGGAGGTGCGCCGTGATGTTCCCAAGCACTGCCTTGGTCTGCTACGCGCATGTGCTGGGTGTGTGCTGGGCGGGCGGGGAGTAAGGCATACGGTGTGCGTGCTGGTTGCGTGCTGGGCGGGCGGGCGCCTGCGGTCTGCCGTGATCCTGTGGTCTGCCGTGTTCGTGTGTGGCATGCCGTGCTCTTGTGTGGTCTGCCGTGCTCCTGTGACTTGTTCTGCTGTGCTCAAATTCGTGTTGTGTTTTGATGTGCCCCAGCGGCGGCCAGTCACTCGGTCGGGAAAGCAGAAGGGGCGCAGATCGCCATGCAGTCGGCATGGCGAAGACAAAGCCGCGCCAGGCCCCCTCACCGCGACCGCGTTGCCCGCCCAGGAGAAGCCCGCCCCCGCGCACGCAGCCGCTCAACCCGTCCAAGGATAAGATCGCGTGAAGGCCGGGAGGGCAGGCGCCAAGATCGCGACCGGACCTCCTCACGAGGACCCGACCCGACCGCAGGAGACAGCCAGCATACTCTCAGGGAAAACGGAGCCGACGGTCTGGAGACGCCCATCCCAGCCGCAGGGACCATGACCTATCAGCGCGCACCAAGTCACCTGCCGCGTCATCCGCCAGCAGAAGGAACAGTGGAGAACCTGAGAACAAACAGGGCAACCGCCGACCAGAGGACGCCGACCACACCCTACCACCAGACCGAGGACGGCGGCAGAGCCACACGCCAGGACCGAGGCGACAGGCATCAGACCCCACCAGGTCTGGAGCCCCCGCAGGCATGGCGTCCCCGATCAAGGTGGAGCGACTGCGACCCAGCGCCTGGTAACAAAGCCGTCGCTTCCCGCCCGAACGACCAGGCCGACGCCGTAAGGATCCTCCACGATCTCCCCGACCTGCCGCCCCCAACCTGCCCCAGCCTCGCCGATCGAGACGGGGCTACCCTGCGCCCCAGTGAGCGAGTCGACCCAGACCCGGAGCAGGGAAAGAAGGACTGCACCATCGCCCACATCATGGTACAACACGCCCGGGCGCTGCACGACAACGTGGAGAAGGCCTTGCGACAATGGCTGCAGCCCCCGTGCTCTGCCCTACCCAGGAGGTAAGCACGGCCGCACCGTCGCCCCAAGGGCAGGAGGCTCCGGTCGGAAGCGGCGAGGGAGGCTGACTACTCACCCGATGCCGACGCCGCAGGTCACGACTCCCAGGCAAACTTCAACAAGGAGCCCCACGCGGGCGACCAAGTCCAAGCAGCGGCCAGCAGCACGGGCCCAGAGCACGTTGAGCAGCCAACCGCCCAGCTTCCACAGCATGAGCAGGCCGCGAAGGACAGCGCTACAATCGAGCCGAAAAAGGTGGACCCAGCCTCAGCGACAGCCACGCCAGCACCATAGCGACAAAACGGGCCGCAACAACTGAACCCAGGGACGGACGCGCGAAACCTGGCCTGGCGAAAGCGGGACTGCGGCGCGCTCTTCGTTGAAGGATGGAACGCCCTACGCGACGCTGGGGGCAACCGACCAGGGAGAGGGGCCTACAACCCCGAGGGGCACGACGCCTTCTCTGAGGACCTCGTGGACGACCTTGACCGCGAACAATTTGACATCCGCAGATGGCCTGGGGGGCCGCCTTGGAACGCCAGATGCAGCGCAACGAGCAGCAGCGAGACACAGGCCAGGGCAAACGAAAGGGCCATGACCCGTTCGGGAAGACACGCCGACCCCACCTGGCCCAACAACGAGCAGTCCAGGCAACGCTGTCCCGACCCAGGCCTGCCCGGCCTCTGAGGCCTCGGCAGCTGCCGCCTCAGGACTGCCAACACCGCGCGCCCCCCAGTCTCCCCAAGCTGCTCTACCGGAGCCCCAAGCTCACCAGCCCGGGAGCCAACCTGGCCGCCGCCCCTACTCAAGCCAGTCGTGACCTGCGGTCACAATCTTCACGGCCCCCGCGCATCTCAGCTGCCACGTATTTGCCCACGCGGACCCGCAGCACACCGCCCCCCAGACAGCCCCCCAGACAGCGCGGGGCACCCAGTCGCGTCAGTCGCAGCCCGCCTCACCGCGCACTGCACCAGCCTGACGTCCATAGACACCATGTGCCGCCCACCCCGACGGCGCGTGGCGGATGCCCTTACAGCTGAAACCTTTTTACACATGATTTGGCACCGATAAGTGCCTTTTGATCGCCCGCGCACTGTCCACCCTGGCAGCGCGTGGCTTTCTACGGCCCCGGCCGTCATTTTTTCAGAATGGGTCCACGCTTGAAAATTGCCCCTAGTCCTGCCACGCGCTGTCCACCCCGGCAGCGCGTGGGCACAGGCAGTGCGCCTGCTGGGCCGCCCCCTACAGGTCAACCGCAGCTTGGGCGCCCAAACCCAGCTCCTCTCGCCCGAGGCCGTGGGCCAGATCGCGGGTGACCTCAGCAGTACAGTGCACGGGCCGCCGGCCCCAGCTCCCGCTGGCACAACCGCCCCGCCTGCGGGGACCTCCCCACGGGCGAGGCGCCCTCTGCCCCCCCCCCCCTCCCCGTCACCCTTCGCCTTGCCCCCCCCGCCCTCCACGCGCCGCCATGGCGCTCGCGCTGCTGCCGCAGCTGACAGCTCCCCCGCGTGGCTGCGCTCCTGGGTTTGGCCTTGCTGGCCGCGCCAGAACACTCAGGTCAGAAGTCTTCCACCTCTGAGTGGCATCTCCTCCCCACCCCCTCCGCGGCCACCACCTGTCCTTTCCCCGCTCCTGCAGGCTGGCAAAATCGTTTCTCGGTGCCCCCGTCTAGCTCTAACGCTGGCGCAGCCAACTCTGCCTCGCCGCCGGCAAATTTTGGCATGCTCCTGTGGACAGCCGTATTCCTACGTGGTCTGCCGTGCTCCTGCGTGGCCTGCCGTGTTCCTGGTAAGTGCCGTGCTCCTGTGATATGCCGTGCTTCTGTGGTCTGCCGTGCTCCTGTGACCTGCCGTGCCCCTGTACTCTGCCGTGATCCTCTGTGGCCTGTCGTGGTTCTATGGTATGCCGTGCTCCTGTGTTTTTTTGCTGGCGTGCTCCTGCGGGGGTCTGGCGTGCTCCTGTGCTCCGCCGTGATCCTAAGGTCTGCCGTGCTCCTGTGCTCTGCCGTGCTCCTATGATCTGCAACGTTCCTGCCGTGCTCCGTCGTGTTCCTGAGTGGTTTGCCGTGCTCCTGCGTCGTCTGCCGTGCTCCTGTGTTCCGCCGTGTTCCTGCGTGATCAACCGTGATCCTGCGTGGTCTGAAATGCTGCTGCGCGGTCTACCATGCCAATGCGGTCTGCCGTGATCCTGTGCACTTGTAGTAGTAGTTGTAGTTGTGGGGCCATAAAGGCCGAGAAAAGGACCGAGGGGCCTCCAGGGGCGCCGAGCGCCACCCGAGACACACGCCCTCCCGAGAGGGGCCGCCTAGGGCCGCCTCTCGCCGCGGGGGCCGCACTAGGCCTCCACCGCGCGGCACCACAGGCGAGAGCAGAACTACCTACAGAATGCAACTGCCCGCCTCACCCTTCGCTCTTGGGCCGCGTCGCGCAACGCTCACGGACCAAAAGCCCATCGAGGAGCCGCTGGCGCTCCTCGGCATCTGGACAACCTGCACTTCCGAGGCGGACGCCGAGGGCGCGGGCCTCGGCCAAGTCCAGGAGCGACCCAACTCCCGACTTCGGCCCCTTGGCCGCACACGCCACCGCCGCCGCCGAGAAGTCGTCCAGGAACGAAACGAACACGCCCTCCGAGCTCGAGCGGCCATCGCCCGCGGCGCAGTCGACGCTGTCCGCGAACAGGGGCGGCTCCACGCCGACGGCGCGCTCGATGGCTGCGCCTCCTACGGGCGCCTCCACGACGGCCACGGACGGCGGCCTCGGCGTCTCCATCGCGCGGTGCTTCGAGCCTTCGTCAAGCGCCGCGACGCCGCTCGGTTTGCACGCCCGAATGAGCAGCTCGAGCTCGAGGGCCCTCCCCACGGACATGCCTGGCGGACGGGCCTGCACTAGCCAGGGCCCCTCGGCGAACCGCACGCGCCAGGCGGGTCGCCGACGAGGCCTCACGGAGATGCCGAACCTCTCGCACTCGCAGAGGTGCATCAGGTCGACGGCCTTCGCATGGCACGCCCACGCGGGTCCAACCACGGAGGGGCAGGGCCACGCAGAAGGACCCCAGGCACACCGAGCGTGCCTCCCAGGGCCCCCACCTCCAAGTCGACGACGTCGGGCCACGGAGCGAAGGAAACCCGCTTGCTCCTCTCACACTCCTGCCCCAGCCCGACAGGATCGGCCTCGCTCGGTTCGCCGGCACGCCTGCCGCCGTGCAGCCCGCACGGCGCGGGCACCGCGTTGCTCCCGTCGGACTCGTGCAGCTCCCCGGGGCCTACCTCGGAGCCGACGGCCGCGAGCGCTAGCGCGCCGCGCTCCTCCTCGGGCCCGCCCCCACCATCGCGCCTGGAGCCCGAGCGCTCCAGCCAGGCAGCGCGCGCCAGCTCGTACTCCGCGGCCAGATCGCTGCCGCCCGAGAAATAGTCACGCAGGAACTGCCCGTGCTCGGACCCGAGATCCTCGAACTCAGAATCCCCCTCGAACTCTGAGCCCCCCTCTAGGCTGCCCCCGCTCCGCCGCGGCCGCCACGCCGAGCAACGCGCCGCAGCAGCGCGATCCTCCTCGGCCTCGCAGCCGAACTCCGCGATGATCTCCTCCGCCACGGTGCTCTCGGCGCCGCCCTCGCCGCAGCCCTGCTCGGCCAGCTGCGCCACGCCGAGCTCCTCAAGCAGCGCGGCCCAGCGCGCCCACTCGGGGTGGTACGGCCTGGCGCCAGACCGCAGCGGGGCCCTCGCGGCCGCCGCTCGGGCGCTGGGCAGCCGCGTTGGCGCCTCGGCCACGCAAGCATCCAATGCGCACTCAATCGGCGGCTGCACTTCGCAGACGCAGGTCTCCACCTCACACGCGATGGCACTCTGCGCCGCACCGCCGCGCCCATCACCAGGAAGGGGCCCTCCTGGGAGGCGCGGCCCGCGTTGAGCCCCGCGCCATTCCTGCGGCGGGGCGTCTGCCGACGGGCAGCGCTCGGCATGCCACGCGACGTCCCGCCGCTGCCACTGCGCCATGGTTTCGCGGCGTCCGCGGACGCGCGCAACCAAGGCGGGCCGCGCGATGGCTTCGCGGCGGAGGGCCTCCGCCTCCGCGGCGTCGCCGCGCGACCCGCACTCCAGCTGCGCCTGGAGGCTGGCGATGACTTCCCTCGCCTCCCGCAACTCCCTGTCAAGCCGCCTCACCAGGCTGTCTGCCGCCCAGCGGGCCGCCGCGACACCGGCGAGCACCTCCCGCACCATTTTGCCCAAGCGCCCGCGCGCGGCGCGCGCCCGAGCACGGCTTGAGCCAAAATGGCTACGGTCTGATCCTGTGTACTCTGCCGTGCTTCTGTGTGGTCTGCCGTGCTTCTGTGTGGTATACCGTGTTCCTCCGCGGTGTGCCGTGCTCCTGGTTGGTTAAAGGGTAAAGGTTAAAGACGGGGCCTTCAGGGCAAAAGGGGTGCCCAAGGCAACGCGAGCTTCGAGCCGCGCTGCACCTCGTCACTGTCGGCACTGTCGCCGTCGGTGTCCTCAACGGGGTCGTGATGTGCTTTGCCGTGCCCCTGTGTGGTCAGCCGTGTTCCCTGGAGGTCGGCCCTGCTCCTGCGTGGTGTGCCGCGCTCCAACAACATGCCATCTTCCTGTCGTCTGCCGTGCTTCTGTGCTCTGCCGCGCTCCTGTTAAATCTGCCGTGGTCCTGATCGGTCTGCTGTGCTCTTGTGTGGTCTGCCATGCTCCTGTGTGCTATGCTGTGTTCCTGCGAAGTCTGCCGTGCTCCGATAGTACGCAATGATCCTGTGGTCTGCCGTGCGTATGTGATCTGCCGTGTTCTTGTTTAACTTGCCGTGTTCCAATGCTGTCTACCGTGTTCCTGTGTGGTCTGCCGTGTTCCTTCGGGTCTGCCGTGGTGATCTGCCGTGCTTTTGTACATTGACATCTATGGAGTCGGAAACAGCTCGTCCGAAGCTGCATGTCTTGAAGATGACCCACCCGCGACCCGCCCGTGACCCACCCGCGACCCGCCCGTGACCCACCCGCGACCCATCCGCGACCCACCCGCGACCCCGCCCGCGACCCAGCCGCGACCCACCCCGCGACCCTGCGGCGGGATTCCTCAGGAGCTTCGCAGACAGCCGACGTCACCGCCCGCTTCGCGCGCGCGCTGGGGCTCTAGCCGACTGCGCAATCGTTGTCAATAGACTTTGCGCTAATCCGCGAACCCCAAGATATTAAAGAGAGAGAGGTTCCCCAAGCAAGGGCCGCCCTTGGCGCGTGGACGTGTTGGGCCTTTTGGGGCTTAACTTCGGGTCCGGCGGGCAGTCGCGGAGCCGTGCGAGATTCACGTGCGACGTGTCGGACGGCTTCCAAGTTTTCCCAAAGTACGCAGGCGACGTGATTGCCGCAGTGGCCGAAGAGGGCCCCAAAAGCTCAGGGCCACCGTGCCGACGCCCTGCCAGGCCGCCCCCGCGGCCGCCGTCACTGCCGCCGCCGTCGTGGTCATCGTCGCGGCGATCGTTGTAGTAGTCGTGGCGGTGGTGATCGTCGTCTGTGGACGTGATCGGACGACTGCACGTTCTGAGGCGCGTTGTGATTTTCTCGGGCCTCCGGAAGCTTCCAGATTTCCAGATTCTGGAAATCTGTCGAAGCCGTCGGCCGTCGTCGATCGTTCGTCCTCGTTGTGGTCGTTGCCAAACTTTTGGAGGCCGCCAGGGCTCCTCGTCGTCGCCTTGGCCGTCGTGGTTGTTGTCGTGGACGTCGTTGTCGCCACCAACGTCGTCGCTGTCGTCTACGAGAGAGGGGGGAGAAGGAGGGATCCAGGGTCGCGGATCGAGGTTTGTCAATGCTGTTGGGCCTTTTTGGGCCTCGCGGGGTCGCTTTCGTCGCCGCGGTCGCCCAAGCCTTGGACCCCCGCCAGCGCTCGTCCAGCGTGCGGGGTCTGGCCGCCGCCGCCCCTACATCCGCGGCCAGCGTCGTAATCGTCGTCGACTTTGCGCGAAGTTGTGCGGATTTGAACGTGGTTGGCCTTTCCGTGGCCTCCCGTGCCAGAACTCGGGAGACACCCTGAGACCTCTGGGGACCGTCGGGGGTCGTCGTCGTCCTCGTCGTCCTCGCCGTCCGCGACACCTCTCCTCCTCCTCTTGCTCCTGCGGTGTGATTCGGGACATCCGCTCGGATGGTCATGGGGACTCCAGATATCGGTCTGAGAGGGCTTGAGGAGACAAGCGGCCCGAGCGAGCGAGCGAACGAGGTGGGAGGGAGGGAGGGGGGGAACGGGGAGCAGCGGGAGGCGGAAAGGAGGAGGAAGAGGAGAAGGAGGAGATGGCTGCCTCTCTCTCTCTCTCTCTCTCTCTCTCCGCACCCCTTCTTTTTTCCCCCTCCCCCTCGTCTTGATTCTCCGAAGCGGGGAATTATCCACAGCAGCCGCGGGGGCCTCGGCAGGCAGTGGATATGGATCTATAGTCGGGCCCTGCGTCGTCATCATCTCCCCTAAACCCGGGCCCTCTCTGACGAGGGGGAGGGGGAGAGGGAAAGGCAGCGGAGCGCGGGGACCGTACCGGAGACACAGAAAAGAGGGAAGAGGGGGAGCACACGACGACACAATGTGTAGGAACACGAGCTGGTATACGAGGAGTGCGCCAGAGGTGCCAGAAGTGAGTAATGACGGGACGATGATGCGCAGGAGGATGAAGAGAGAAGGACGTGGTGCGACTTGGCTGCAGCGTCGAACCGCAAGCAACTGCGAAGGCATTGTGGGAGTCTCTGGGACTCTCCGGGCCTTCCTTGGGAATCCTTTTGGGCCTTTTTTGGCCCGTCTGGGAGCCCTTTTCGGCCGTCCTGGGTCCCTCTTGGCCGTCATGGGGGGCTGAGGCCGTCTTGGAGCCCTCTTGGGGCCCTCTCCGACCATGCAGAGATCCTCCCGTGGCCCCCTCGGGGCTCCCTGGGGACTCTTTTGGGCAGTCTTGGAGCTCTCTTGTGCTGCTTGAAGCTCTCTTCAGGCCGTCTTGATACCCTCTGAGGGGCCTCTTGGGCCGTCTGGGGCCAATTTGGGGGGCCTTTGGGGCCATCGTGGCCGCTGTTAGGACTGAAAAGGCGAATATCCAGAACATATACTTGTTTCCTTCGGACATGCTTGATTTTCGCCATTGGCGGGCCCTCTCGGCGGCTTCTTGGACCGTCTTGAAAGCATTTGTGGCCGTCTAAGATCAGTCTTGGGCTGTCTTGGAGCGCTCGTAGGCCGTCTGAAGGCCATCTCAGTGCGCTCTTCAGCCATCTTCCAGGCAACCTGGGGCGCTCTGGGAGCCTCTTGGGCCAGCTCGGGGACTTCTGGGGGGGGTCTGGCGCCCCTTCTGGGCCCTCTTGGAGCCCTCATTGCCGCCCCCGGGCCCCCCATGCAAACCAGGGGTCGTGGTTCCAGGACCTCCACCAGCCCACTCCGATCAAAATTTATATGTATGTGTAATAAGAATACACACACACACACACACACCTATACGACCACCCTTCGGGTGATAACAGGTTGTGGGGGGGGGGGAGAGAGAGAGAGGGGGGAACCAACATCTGACTCAATTGATCTCACTATCGATCTCACTATCGATCTCACTCAACGGGACATCACGGGCCACCACGGGCCACCACGGGACACCACGGGACACCGCGGAACACCTCTCGATCTCACTATCGGTCTCACTATCGATCTCACTATCAATCTCACTCAACGGGACACCACAAGACACCACGGGACACCACGGGACACCACATCGATCTCACTATCGATCTCACTATCGATCTCACTCAACGGGACACCACGGGACACCACGGAACGCCTCTCGATCTCACTATCGGTCTCACTATCGATCTCACTTTTTGGGACACCACGGGACACCTCGGGACACCACATCGATCTCACTATCGATCTCACTATCGATCTCACTATCGATCTCACTCAACGGGACACCACGGGACACCTGTCGATCGCACTATCGATCTCACTATCGATCTCACTTTTCGGGATAACACGGGACACCTCGGGGCACCACATCGATCTCAGTATTGATCTGAATATCGATCTCACTATCGATCTCACTCAACGGGACACAACGGGGCACCACGGGACACCAGCGGGACACAGGCGGGACACCGCGCGGCACCGGCCGCCGGAGGAGCAACATTTGGTCCGGCCGCGGCCCAGCCACAGGAGGATTTCGGGACACCAGCGGGACACTGGCGGGACACCGCGCGGCACCGGCCGCCGGAGGAGTTACATTTGGTCTGGCCGCGGCCCAGCCACAGGAGGATTTCCTCTCGCGCGCCCACACAGCTTCGCCTCGCCCGCACGCACGCACGGCACACACGACACGAACCCGAAACCAAAATCGATTTCCCGGTAGGGGAGGTCGCCGTTTCACGTCTGACTCACCCCCCAACCTCCGATATACATACATATATAATGTATATATATATGTGTATATACGAACCACACACGCGCTTCGCGCGCGCGTAGGTTCCAGCGAGCTCCAGTTGTAGTCTAAGGTATTCGGCATCGGGGGACATTGCTTATCGCAAGGCTCGTGCACCTCGGGGGGCTCCACCTGCGCCCCATCAGACAGGCCTGGGCCCCCTGCGCCCCTGCCGGCACACCCTTCACGGGCATCGCGTCCCACAGGGAGACCCACGTGCTTCCATCCCCAGAGACGAGGTTCGCACAGTGGCACGCCCCTCACGAGGACCGTGCCCCGCAACTAAATGCATCTGGGGCACAAGAGGGGAGCTTCACAACATCGGGTCGCTCACTTCGGTGCACCTCTCATACGGATCGTGGCCCGCAAGGACATCCACGGACGGCCCCAAAGACAAGGTTCGCATCCCGCCGTTCCGCCTACATCGGCACACCTCGCACACGGATCGTGATCGTGGCCCACAGGGATCTCCACCCACGGCCCCCGAAGCAAGGTTCGCACTGCGCCTCCCCCCACGGCCATGGCGGTACACCCCCTCACGTGGATCATGCCCACAAGGAGCACCACCGAATTAAAGGCCCGGAAGGTTCGAACAACGCCCCCCCCGCCCATGTCGGCACACCTGTCACGCGAGAATCATGCTCCAGAACGAGCATCTTTGCATGGCGCCCCCGCGCCCATTTCGGAACATGCTTGGCACGGGGCGTGCCCGGAGGAGGTCCACCTGCGGCCTCAATGGGCGTGTTCGCGCGACCCTTCACGCAAATCGTGCCCCACAAGCACTTCAGCGCACCCGTGCACGCGTGCCCCGCGGCAGCCATCTTTCCGCATTGCCCCGGCCTCTTTGGCTGTCTAAAAGCCTGGCCCGTCGGACGCTCCCGGAAGTCGTTTTTGAGGCCTGTCTTCGCCGTCTTCGAGCCCGCTTGGAGCGCTTCTTGGCTGTCTTGGAGGCAATCTCAGGCGTGTTGAGTCCTCTTGGCCGTCTTGGGGCCCTCCTGGGGGCGTCTTTG